TTCAGGTACGACTGCATTTGCGGCTGAGATCATCAGGCGGGTGCTGGACGTGCTCCGAGGTTTCCCTGGAGGCAGCACCTCAGAGTCAGCCCTCCCGGCAGGGAAGCACAAGACCTGGAGTCATTTTCTGGTAAAGAAGAATTTCAGCCAACAACATCCCATTCTGGTAACCCCGTGGTCACCAGAGCCCGGTCCCACGCTGCCGATCGGGGAGGGCACCCAGTCCCAGCTGGCTCTGCCCAGGAAACCACATTTCCCGCCAGCAAACAAACCAAAACTGGTTATGGTGGCTCCACGCGCAGTGGGGGCATCCGGCTTAACCCACTGGGGCCAAAGAACGACCCCACGGCCCTTCAACAACACCGCCCAGGAAATACACGGGGGGTAAATCACATCCCCAGCTGCCAGGATGAGAGAGGCCATGGGCACGGGGACACCCCACCGGCACGGCCATGGGGGGCTGGCACATGCTGGGGTAAACACCCCCCAAACCAGAGCCCCGAGCAAGGGGAAGGGGTGGGCACGGTGCTGAGCGGGCACTGGGGTGGCTCTCACTGCTGGTTTTCCTACAGCCGCGGTACCAGCACCAGGAATTTCAAATCAGCATCTGCAACACGGGTAGAGCAAGGATGAGAAACTCCCCCAGGAAGGACCAGTCCGTCCCAGGGTGAACTGGGATGGAAAGGGAGCAAAGCACCTGGCCCTCACACAGGTTAGGCTCTCAACATAATTTTTCTGCCACGAGATTCCCGGTTGCCAGCAACCGTCCCACCCCGCGCAGCATGGAGGGACCCTGAGTCACCCGCATGATGCTGCCAGGAAAAAAAAAAAATAAATAAATGCAAAGAGTGAAATAAAACATGCCAAAGGCTTTGAAGCTGCATTAGTCACCACTGCACTCAAACGGCTGTGCTCCGCCCCACCAGAACAAACGCCAAAGAAAAAAAAAAAAAGCCCCCAGCAAAGATGCACCTCTGCAACCTGTCTACATAGCCCCCTTCTCCCCAGCCTCTGGTGTCAGGCAGAGCTGCCGGCAGCGGGACACATTTACACTCCTGCAGTGAGATTTTTTTTTCGTATTTATTCAGGTTTCAAAAGGTGCCAGCAGCACAAAGCCCCGGACGTTGGGTAGGAGATACTCAAGACACAGTATATAACGGCACAGCTACTCCTCGTGCCCAGCTGGGCTCACTTTGAGACTGAAAACATATTTTTAGCAAACACCAGCAGGACGGCCCGGGCTCGGTGGCTCCCGAGCTCCCACCCACCCATCCCTTCGCACGGATGCCAACGGGAGCAGCATGCTTCGTGTCCCTCACACACGGGACTGACCCAGAGGCTCCCAATAAAGGCAAGGAAAAGGCTCCTGATGTCTTGGACAACATCTGCATCAGCCCCAGACGCAGCACCCGTGGGTAGGACTTGAGTTAAAACCTCAGTGAGAGTCTGTTCACCACCTCCAATGTGCTCTGGGACAGGCTCAGGACAGCCTCAGCCTGTCCCAGAGCACATTG